AGGAGCAGTCTGGCTATACTTTTCCAAAGAGATTTCTTCATTCTCCCGGCGGTACATGGTACTTTCACTATTCTTCACCAAAACCCTAATTCAAATGCATCGTTTCTCCTGTGGTCTTCTTGTCGATTGTCCTACTTTCACAAGCACATAAGACAATGGAAACATCAAGGCTTGGGTCAGGAGCACCTTAGGTCTCAAAGTGATATCTCTGCTCTTCAATTAGTTCTTGGGTAGCAGATTTGCCCAATACAATATATCCTTTGATTTCTTGATGATGCTTTGATAAGCATTGATTGTACATACAAGTAAAATACAATCATTGACAGCTTCTTCTTTTCTTCGTTTATCATCTATCCATCTATCTATCATCTAGCTAGCTATTTTCATCTATATGATATAAAGATCAGTCAGTAAAAAGGATATCATGCTTGGTAAAGTAGAAGATCAACAAAAATATTACCTCTCAATGAGATGGATTGATGGATTACCCCGCAATGACACATTGGCTTTAAAAAGAACTCTAACATAACTGCACTTGTGAGGATGGCTCAGCACAGTGTCTCTTTCCACTGTATGTAGGTTGCTACAAGCCAGAACCCACTTGAAACACCTGACAGCAGCAAAAATAACACATCACTATTAATATATGAATATACAAAATCGAATCTTATACTATCCCTACTCCCATATGCCAAATCGAAATAAGGGATGTAACTAAATTTCATGGTACAAAGAAAACAAGTACACGAGTAATAAGAGGAAAATGGAAAAACCAATAAAACAATTTACTAGTATTTTATATATGATGATAAAACAAATTTTACTAAAATAAAACATGTCTTCAAGCGAAGTAAATGAGACATCACCGAATTTCATGACAAATATTCTGACAAGATGGCACTAGTAAAACAACACTGTTAAGTTTGTCTATATCTATTTATATTTTACAATTAATTTTATTGTATTTGAATTTATTTATCTTGGGTTATCTGTTATCGAAAATTAAAAGTATCTGATTTAGACTGTATCAAGCAAAAAGAAAGAAGAATCAAAGTGTTTGAATCAGGAATGAAAGAGTGGTCTTACCGAGACAAAAATAATTAAATTTGAAGACTAGGAAAAGCTAAATTTGATAATTTCATTGAAGTGGGAAAATACTTGGGGTGACACATCTTGCTGAAAAGGATTATAGAAGCGAAAAAATAAACCAGAAAGGTGATGTAATCATTGATGTAATCATTTTTTTGAAAACTTAAGACCACAAAGCTTCCCTGGAGAATTTTAACAAACATTTAAAAACAATTCATTTAGAATTTTCAAAAAAATTTCCAGAAAACTAAAGGGGACTGATTCTTTAGCTCTTGTATGATACTAAAAGCAGTCAATATTCCAATATGTTTTATGAATATAAATGCAAAATCCCTCAGAAAAATAAGAGCAAACTAAATTTAGCAACAAGTGAAAATAATTATATATTAGCCAATTATAATTTATAAGAAGATTGATTTAATAATAAAAAATAAATATGGGTATCTCAATAGATGGAAAACATTCCATTATGTAGTCGTTACATAATTTTATGTCAACTTGAAGACATATAAAAGTGTAAGGGTGGTTTCCAAGTTGTCAATCAAGTCACAGCCAGATGGTGCCTCCTTGTGGGTGTGGCTTTCTCATAAAGAAGGCCTAGGGAACTTCCCCACACCCCTCTGCCTTGACTTTCCTGCTTTCTGGACCCCTGAGAGTTGCCAGAGCCCTGCCATGTTTCCACCGATCTCAGAGCCACAGGATTTTGCACACACCAGCCTGTGATCTTCCTGCATGATTGCATGTGGCTGTATGAGTCTGAAGAGGGATTTATGGACTAGTATTGGATTTATGGACTGGAATGGGATGCTTTCTTGATATATAATTGCATCTCAATATAAAGCTCTTTCTTACATATGCATGAGTGTCACTGATGTGTTTCTCTAGTTAACTTGACCTACCACACATGATGAAAACATTCAATACACTATAACGAAAAAGGAGTTATTTATCTTAAACTCGATCAGTGGCATCAACGAAATACCTGTAACTGTTCTCATATGACATAGAGGGAGATAATGCTTTCTCTACTAAGATCTACTGAGGGCAATTAGGCAAGATAGGAAAAGAAATATATTCAGATTAAAAAAAGGATAATTGTTTCTATGAAAAGGTGACTTTAGAAGACAAAGTGGGTGAATAAGCAAATGTGGTGAAGAAAGCTGATGGTGTCCGGCTATCAAAAGATATAGCGTCTGGGGTCTTAAAAGCTTGAAG